TTGTGAACATAGAATACTATAATACACAATAGAATGGCTATCAACTTTATTTTGTACGAGGATTAGTGTCGCCGGGAGCACATATACTCGTACAAGCAACTAGTCGTATTATCACTACTACAAAACCAATTCGCTGTGTTATCAGACTGAGGGAATTTACAAATTTTAGACTTTTGATTTAATGTTTTTGACACATCAATATTTCTTTATTATTGTTTCTAATATTCACAAAATATAAATAGTTTTGACTTACTGGTTGTAGGATATGTCTCCATTATTTAAATTCTATTTAACTCTGTTCTTTCGACACGTAATTATTACACAATTTGCAATTTTTAAATAGTTTGGATGCAGCGACGCTTGACACGAAAATTGGAAACAATTGATTGTGTTGACATCTATAGGTGTGAATTGACATGTTAGTGGCTACACGGGCTCCACCCACTCCCCCGTTCTATTATGTATGTATTATAGTATTCTATGATTGGGAATGACGTAAATTTATTAAAGTAGTTGGATAGTTTCCCACGTTTCAAATGCCTCTCTGCGCATTTCTTGTTTTTTTTTTCAAATTTGCAAGTCTTATAAATTCTGCATATTAATAGGTCCTTACATATAAAATTGGCGTTTTGTACGGGAGGAATATAAAGTCAATTTTTTTGTAAAATATATTTAATTAATCAAAAAATGCACCGTTGTTGTCTATGCACTTTTGGCATCTCATAGGTAGTTCATTGATCCCTTTACTAAAAAAACCATGGGGGCGAGAATCAATAAAGTCTTTGAAGGCGGTTTGGAATACCGCACCTGAGTTGAATTTTTTTCCTTTTAAGAAGTTGTCCAGATTCCGGTAATCTGTTCGTGCAAGGTCCGGAGAGTACGGTGGATGTTGCAGACATTCCAACTGTAGCTCATCTAACTTGGTTGGTGGTTGTTTGTTTTGCAGTGTGTGATCTTGCGTTGTCGTGAAGCAGCAGTGGCCTAGAGTGATTGACCAATCTCGGTTGTTTAGCAGCTAGTTCTTCCTTCATTTCTTCAGTTTGGCCAGATTTTAGAAAGTTGTATTGGACGACACCGGCGATACTCCACCAAACACTCACAAGTAACTTTTTCTGAGTCAATTTTCGTTTATGGCAGGATTTGGCTGGGTCTCCGGGTTCAGCCATTGTGACGAGCGCTTCCGGTCATTGTACAGTATCTACTTTTCATCACAAGTAATAATTCGATTTAAAATCCCTTAATTTTTTGTGTCGGTTGAGCAAAGTAACACAGCAGTCGACGCGTGTTTGCAAGTTTGATTCACTCAATTCATGAGGTACCCATCGTTCAAGTTTTTTTTACTTTCCTGATTTGCTACAAGTGGATTAATACACTTTTGTGACTTACCCCGAAGCCTGCAACTATTTTTTGAAGTGCTTTGTGATGGATCCGCTTCCACAATAGCCTTTACTTCTTCATTTACCACTTTGGTCTCCGGCCGTCCACGGGATTTGTTCTGAAGGTCGAAATTTCCAGAACGAAAACGTTGAAACCAAAAACGTACCGTGCTTTATTTTGCAACACCAGCGCCGTACACAATCATTAATCATCGATCTGCTTCGACAGCACTGGTGTCACGGTAGAACTTGTAATGGTAAATATACCAATATTTTATGTGTTCCATTGTGCGGTATTAAGCGACGCTAAAGAAAAAAAAATTATGAGGAAATAACAAATGGATGAATGTTTTCAAAACTCAAATATACCAGCTAAATTAATTTATAAATTAGAATTTGGAATTTTCAACCCAAGAGGAGAACAGATCAAGATCAAAGTGGTCAGTACGACAGATATTGGCACAGTCTGGATTACTTTCTACGTTGATAGTCCTGGTATTTCTGATAATATTGTTGCGCGCAATAATTAATGCCTGATACATGACGACATTAGTTACTACTAGCGCCATCTAGTATCGAGTAGCAGAACTAGGAGAGTCAAGATCCTTCTAGAGATTTCCATACTAGAACTTAACGATTTCTTATATTTACGTGAATACTACACATTGATTAAAACTACTTTAACGGATTTTATCGCGTTTTTTATTTTATTTTTAATACCCGACGTTTCGAGTGCTTTCCAGCATCCATGGTCACAGGGGACTGAGGTGACTGACGTCCCGATGTCAGAGTTAACACGGAGTACCTTCAGCTTTCTTAATTATTGTCTTTGGTCCGATCTACGCAGAATGAACTAACTGTGTTTTGAAGTCTTGCAGTGGTATGCTTGGGTTTAGTTTTAATTTTATTAATTATAGGGTCCCAAGCGGGTGGTAGTACCCAGCCTCCTTCTCTATTGAAATTAGGATGTTTTTTTATTTCAATAGCCTCACGTTTCATCCTTGGTAGGAATCGATGTTCTTTCGCAAGGATTTGTGGTCTATCAAATCTGATGTAATGGTTGGGGCCCTCAAGGATATGATCGCGAACTACAGACTTCCCGGAACGTTGATGCTTCACGTCAGCTATGTGTTCTTTTACGCGGGTTCTAATTGATCTCTTTGCTTGCCCTATATATGAGAGACCACAATCACAATCAAGCTTGTACACTCCTGCATCTTGTAAAGGAATATGACACTTGACGGATGGTGAGAACTGACTAATCTTCTTTGGCGGCTTGTAGAATGTTCTAATAGAAGCTCGCTTCAAGATGTAGCCAATCTTGTCTGTGACACCTCTGACATATGGTAGTACAGCAGGCACACGCTCGACCGTTGCCGGCTTCACTCGGTCACTGTGACGTAGACGCGGGACCCGAAGCTTGTTGTCGTGCAGAACCTGCTTGACGTGCTGAAGCTCGGCGGCCAGGTGTTTGCTGTCACAGATCCCTCGTGCTCTCTGTAACAAAGATTTGCCTACGGTAGCTAACCGTGAAGGATGACGGTGAGATTCACCATTTAAATATCGGTTTGTATGGGTCTTTTTTTATACACAGTATGACCTATGGTGTTCTTAGGATTTCGGATGACTAACACATCTAGGAAAGCTAAGGAATTATTTGCCTCTAATTCCATGGTAAATTGAATTTTAGAGTTTATGCAATTAAGATGTTCTAAAAATGCAGTTACTTTGTCTGATGGTAAAATTGTGGAAATATCGTCTACGTACCGCTTGTAGAACCTTGGGGTAACAGGTGCAGTAAGGAGGGCTTTCTCCTCAAAGTCTTCCATTAATATATCGGCGACAATGGGAGATACAGGTGAGCCCCTCGCAACACCATCATAAAAGACCTACGTCTTACTGACAATGAAACCACTTGGAACCAAATTTGTCTGTTACAGTTCCCATCCCTATTTATCTATTAGCATCCTGTCGCAACCTTTATTTTAACCAATAATTAGCGTGCATTTCAACCCGCCTGCCCCGTACCGCTTACCTCAGACTTTTGACAGACAGGTTTGGATGCAGAAGTACATACATTATGCGTCTATTCGGGCTGTGTAGTCATTCGCACGCACACGCACACACGCACACGCACACACACGCACACAAACTCACTCACACTCACAAACACACACACACACACAAACGCACGCATGTACACACACGCACACGACACACACACACACACACACACACACACACACACACACACACAAACACACACACACACAAACGCACGCATGTACACATACGCGCACGCACACGCACGCACACACACACACACACACACACACACACACACACACACACACACACACACACACACACGCACGCACGCACGCACGCACGCACGCACGCACACACATGCACACACACACACACACACACACACACACACACACACACACACACACACACACACACACACACACACACACACACACACACGGCCAGACGTCCGGCTGGGAATAGTTGGAACGACTTCCTAGGACCTCAAAACGTGGAGATCTGATGAAAACTAGCATTCTTAATACCGGACCAAAATCTACAACTTCCTAATTTCGAAAATCATTCATTTTCAAAGCGGTAAGTTAAAAAATCGAGAGAGTGAAACAAAGTACTTTAAAGAGAAAGTTAAATATAAATCCGCTGTAGGGTGGAACACCTTATCTGATCGGTCTAACTCACTTAATCCAGTAACTGTTGACTCCATAAGAGATAATAAGCAAAAAAATAAAAGAATTTTATCATAAACTTAAAGTATATACTAATTATCATTGTATCGGTTTGCATTTTGGATATCAAAGTTAAATAGTTTGTTTCTATTATATTTGTTTTATACAAAATGTACATCGATATGATTTTAGTTATATCCAAATATGTATTTCTACTGGTATTTCATTTTCTTATCGTTTAAAAATAACGTTTCCTTTTTAGATTTGATCAAAAATTAAAAGACGCGGTTAACTTAAATACTACGGGAACATTGCGGGTGCTAAAATTAGCTGAAACTATGAAGAATTTAGAGGTAAGGTATCCTTTTTGCTTGTATTTGCACCAAAAATAAAGTTAAGTTAATTAAGATATTTGTTATCAGGCTTCTGCGTCATTTGGCGTCAAACAACGGGATTTTCAAGTGCTACTGGGTAAGAAATTTATCAAAATTAACTGAAGTTAATGAACCAAGGTGGCCTGGCCCTGAGCGGCAAATTTAAAGGAGCGGCATTTTGCAATTGAAAATAACAAGAAGAACATCGTACCATTAAATGAATTGATCTGCTACACACAAAAGCACATACGATATAATTATAAAAATATTTTTTTTTTCAAAACACTTGTAAAAACTAGGGTGTGAGATGAGGTGTCTCACAGCCTGTCATTGTACAGAGTGGTACTTACCCAGACGGACTCCAAAGAAGAAAGGAAGTCTTACCACATAGTAAACTACGCCACTGGACTTTCACTCTTAACCTACTAATGCCCGGTAAATGTTTATGCTATAAGGTTGAAGTTAGCCCAGAGCCAAATGAGCTATCAAGCTACCTGCTAAAAATTAGCTTTCAGAGCATGTATTCGTCAGCGTCACAGCACATTATATGACGACACATACCAGTTATTTATTATGATGTTAATAATTGACAATTTCAGGTCTTTGTACACCTCTCGACCGCATACTGCTGTTGTGAACTGGATGTAAAGTAAAAAATTAAAGTAAAGTTACAGCCTATATACGTACCAATGCTGGGCACAGGCCTCACCTCATTTCTGAGGGGGTTTTAGGGCAAGGAAGTGTCCGCCGCGCTGCCCCAATGCGTGTTGGCGAACTTCACATGTCTTCGAAATATTTTTTTTTATTCCTCAGAAATGCACGTTTCCTCACGATGTTTTCCTTCAACGCTGAGCACGTGGTAAATCAGCACTTAAAATTGCATTTAACAATTTCATTGGTGCCGGCGGGGCTCGAACCCGGGTTATTCGCGTTCTGTTATATTTACAGCGAGCGTTAACCATCTGAGCTACCACGGCTCTTGATTATCAATCTTGTCTATCAATCGTCGTTCGTCGTTGTTGTCCTCTGCAGGGCATAGTGCCGTGCAGGTCTCGGGCCTCGGGGTATACCCCTTTACCCGGATGTTCCTCACGGCACACTACAATGTGCCGGTCCTGGGCGCCTTGATGTTAAAGGCGTTGTATTTAGCGACTTTTGTCGCAATCGGGTAATTTATCGTTAAAGTAGGTTATCTATAATTTGTGTTTAACACAAATTATTATGTCAAAGTTGGCCTTTCTGCGGCATTGTGGGGTTTACTCTACTCCCTAATCTATATAGGGAGGAGTTCTCTTGGATAGGGTCGCCCGTCCGGCGGCCGTGAGTGCAACGGCGCGAAGCCGTTGAGGTGTTCGTGTGGCCCGTTGTCGGCGCGGTCGAACATACCGCGCGCCAGCCGGACCACGAATTGTTGCAGGCTCTCTATCTTTAGGTTGGCCGCTATGACGTCATTTCGGACGTAGCGACCCGCACCGACTATAGTTCGTAATGACAAACTCTGCTGGGCCTGAAGTCGCCGCTTCTGATGATCGCTCAGGAGTGCATACCAGGCCGGAGCAGCGTATGTTAGCAGGGGTCTTATATAGGTTTTATAAATGGTTAACTTCGACTTTGTCGGTAACTTGGATATCAGGACAGGGCGGAGCATTGCCCGCGCACATCGAGCTTTGCGTATAGCAGAGTCGACATGCGCAGTCATACGCAACATCCTGTCAATCCGACATCCAAGGTAGGTGTCTATCAATTATTAAATGATTATAAATTAAAGAGTGGAACTAAACCGTATAGTGGCGGTGTAAGAATATCCACTATCACATATCGTCTCGTCGGTGTCGTAAGAGAGGACGGTGCGAAACTAAAACTGGTTGCCAACCCGTCAGCGAAGCGTTGAAGTTAAAAATTCAGAAATAAACCCGAAAAAATCCATTAAATTAGTTTCATTTAATTGTTTATGTTATATTTCATTCTATACATAAATTTTATCTAAGGATTGATAAATTGGCCCACGTATCTATCGCTAAAGACAGAGTCATCCAAGCGATATAGTAAATAAACAAAATCCGCATACACAAAGCAGTAATGAGTTCTTAAAGACCTACGTTCAGATGTAGACTTCTGATGCGTGATGATAATGGTAGATAACACAAAGTTTCCCCCATCACCTGAACGCAATTCAGCCAGATATATCTCTTAAGGTATATCTTTCTTTTTACCTCAAACTTTTATACGTGTTAGAGACACGCTGCACCTATATTATAGATGTATCGGGTCGGCTCAACGGGGGCAGGATCACGCTCTCACAGAATACCAGCGTAAAATAGCAGCGTAATGCTGCTTTGTTTCGTATGGTGAGTGTAGAGATTTCATACATGGTAGAGCCATGCTGCAGTTATATTTGTAGTATAATTGTAGCACGAATGGGTCAGCTCGACCGGGGAAGGACCACGTCCTCACAGTACACCAGCGTACAATAGTAACTTAATGCTGCTGTGTTTCGTATGTTGAGTGTAGAGAACTGGAGACCATTTTTAATGGAAACGAGGCATTCCATCTTAGTCCTCACAGGTGACAACGCATCTGGATTTTGATTAATGTAGAGAGATTGGATAAAAGTAGAGATCTATGGGCCACAGCAACCACTTACCATCAGGTGCACTGTGTGCTCGTTTGCAACCTATCCTATAAAAAAAAAGATACCGGAGACCCTTTTTACTGGAATCGAGGCATTCCATCTTAGTCTTCAGGGGTGAAGAAGCATTTGCATTTTGATTCTTAATTGAGGATAAATGTGGATGTCTATGGGCCATGGCATCCACTTTCCATCAGGGGAACTGTGTGCTCGTTTGTCACCTAATGCTATAAAAAAAGAAAAAAAAATACAAGGAAAAAAGTCCGAACCCTGCACACATTTCAAGTTGTAAAAATACACTCACGTACACATATGCATCTAAAGTCGTTTGCAATCAACAACATAGCTTGGCAGTGAATTTTTATGAAAAAAGAAAGTAAGATGTGTGCATGTATGCGTTTGGTTTCGGCATCACTTGAAATGAATACAGCGCTCCGTCTTTCTTTCTTTGTTCTTTACTCACATGATCTTTTAAGACTTCTACGAGTCTTTAATTCGGCCGTTTATCCTTTTTGCTTCTTATTAACACATACATTTTACTTAGTGTACAAGCTCTGAAAAAATCAATTGCAGGACTGAATTAAATGATATTTTTATTAAAAAGGCTATAACTCTAGAGCCGCATTTAAATTTGAATATATGAAAAAAGAGGATAGAGTTGTTATTGTAATTATTTCTATTACACTTTTTGCACTTGATATTGCTTTATGTATCATCATCGTTACAGCCCTTTACAAGTCCACTGCTGAGAATAGGCCTCCCTCAAATAATGCCACAAAGCACGATCCAGAGTCACCTGCATCTATCGACTTCCTGCACGTCTTACCAGGTCGTCACTCCATTTGGTGGGGGGGCCGCACCACACTTCGCCTACGAGGGTTCTTCGGGTTATATTATTATACTAGCTGTTACCCGCGGCTTCGCCCGCATGGTCACTGGGAAATAAACTATCCATTGCTTTTTGAATTGAAAGAAAACGGAGTTTTATAGATTTGTCAGAGATGCAGCCATTAATCCAATATAATAATGCCTTCAGGATGCTGATGGGATTTCATGTGTTCTGCAGTGCATCTGGCATGTTTGCTGAAGCGGGGGTTGATGATTTTCATGGCATCTTACGGAAGCGAATATCGTCCAGCTGGCGCAGATTGGGGGGGAGCTCAAACGGCGTCCTGAAGGTAGTTAAAGATAGGCTTGATTGTCCCATTCAAGGGCATTGGACTCAAATGCATACGGGTGGAACACTTATGTATCTTAATTAATATTTTTTAAATTGTGAGTTATTTAATTTAATTTGATTTAATTTAATAACATAGCTTTTAAGAAATTTACTAACAAATTTGTATGGATTTTTTAATCTGAAATAAACGTTTTATTATTACTATTGGGGGCTATAAATATAGTTTTCTCATCTGGTTGGGTTCTATAAATATATAATTATAAATCAAAATGAAAAGATAAATATACATAAATATCAATAACACAAAATAAATATAAAAATGCATATATAAATAAAAGCCCAACCAGATGGAGGCCATCGGCAGGGGAGACCAAACGGCCGAGAGTTAGGGGGGAAAGAGAAAGAAACCGGCGGACGATGCGGGTGGTATCGAGGAGCACCGCCTTCTGCATTTGAGCCTGGAGCGGTCTGCCACTTAGTCCCAGCCGCCTCAGATGACCCGAGAGGCTGACTGTGTAATGTCTACCAAAAATATCCTTGACTATGCCCGGTCCATCAGTACAATATCAGGCTTATTTGCAAGAATAGTCCTGTCTGTGATGATGGCCCGGTCCCAATAGAGCCTGGCGCGATCATTTCCGAGCACGGCTTCCGGCAAGTACTTGTAATACGGCAATTTCCGATCCACGAGACCGTATTTTAGAGCGAGCTCCTGGTGAAGAATTCTGGCTACTAGGTTGTGCCTGTGCAAGTACTCAGAGTTAGAAAGCACCGAACAACCGGAGATGACATGCCTAAGTGACTCACCGGGATGGCGACAAGCTTGACAGATGTCGAAGGTGCCATCCTTTAGGATGTATCTCCGATAGTTGTTGGTCTTAATAACCTGATTCTGTATTGCACAGACAAAATTTTTTTTGGTTGTCTCTTTGGTGATCTCTTCGGGGGAAACCGAGCGGGTTTCCCCGAAGAGATCACCAAAGCGTAGCCAGTGGAGGGAGGCTACTGTGTCTACGAAAGGCTCATGTAGAGTTTTGTAGAACCTCCCGTGGAGCTCCTTCTCCTTCCATACGTATTGGGGTATTGCCATTGCTCGTTGGCTAAGGATAGAGGGGTAAGTCCTTTATCACAAGAAATGACGTCCTTATAGAATGGATTATCCGATTTCGCCAGAAAGTAATCACGGAGGCTGCACACTTCGCGATTATGCATGGTGAGCGCGCTCAAGAAGCCACGCCCACCATTATTTCGCGGCAAGTACAGCCTCATTACCGACGATCTCGAATGATGCATTCTATGGGACGTCATGGTAGTGCGGACTTTTCTACCCCCCTGGTAGAAAAGTTAAGTTCAGTCTGAGTCCACCTGAGTATGTCAAAGGTATACATGAGGACAGGCATGACCCAGCCGTTATACGCGTGTGCCTTATTCACACCGGACAAAAAGCTGTTAAGCATTTTGGTCAAGCGTGCGTAAAACACGTCGCAAACTGACTGTTTCATATCAGCCTCATCGATACCGATGTTCTGTGACACACACAGGTATCGGTATGTTTAAGCCTCGGAAAGGGTTCTTTAGTTGACGGGCATAGATATGTCTATGCCCCTCAGAGTTAGCAACCCTTCCCCTTTCAACAAGGAGGACCGCACACTTATCCGCCCCAGCTCCATTCCAATGGCGTTGCTAAATTCACAAGTGATGTTTAGCAATTCCATAAGACTGGAGGCGAATAACTTGAGGTCGTCCATATAGAAAAGGTGGGTCACTTTTGTCCCTCCTTTCCGTAGCTGAAATCCCCTCCCGGAGCCCTCCAGTAAGGTACTGAGAGGGTTCAGAGAGAGAGGCTGAACCAGATTGGACTCTGACAATCGCCCTGGAAGATACTCCTTCTTATCCTTATGTGGTTCTCCGCAGCCATCTTCTGCTCGCCCAGATGACAAAGCACTGCCCCATACACTGCTCGAGGAAGTCTCTAACTGTACAGTCTATCTTGTACAGTGCGAGGACTCTCTTTAGCCATGTATGGGGCACCGAGTCAAATGCCTTTCTGTAGTCTATCCAGGCGGTGGAGAAGTTCCGACGGTTGCGTTTTACCACTTTGCCAATTACCGCGTCAATGAAAAGTAGTTCCTTGGTTCCACGACCACCGCCCCGACATCCATTTTGAGCGCGTGACATCACCTGATTTGAGTCCAGGTGACGAGTGATTCTCGCGCTCAAAATGGATGTTAGTGTCTTGTATATGGTCGGTAGACACATGATGGGGTGGTATTTGCTCAGGTCTGTGGTACCCTTGTCTTTAGGAATCAAATAGGTGATCCCAGTAGTGAAGAGGCTCGGGAGCGACTTCCGATTGAGAGCCTCTTGAAACTTTTGGGCGAGCACAGTGTGACACACCACGAACCCCTTCAGCCAGTAGTGATGCAGCCCGTCGAGTCCCGGACTTTTCCAGTTCGGGGCCCTACGGACCGCCTGAGCTACGTCATCCGGTGTTATAATGACGGGGTCCATTGGTGTTATACTCGCACACTGACTCGCCACAACTTCGGTCCAAGGGCCCTCGCTGTGGTTTACGGGCTCTGACCACAGGCCGCGCCAGAATGCTACATTGTCGGCCTGATTCGGTGCTGGGCCCGTTCCACCTACCATTGGTCGCTCTAATGATTCATAGAGCCTCTTCTGATCACTCTGGAAGAGACTATTCTGGTTGAACTGTGTCGACCTCTCGGTATATCGCCGAATCCGCTTTCCCCAAGCAGCGATTCTCTGCTTCAGATCATCTATGCGCTCCGTCAGTTTTTGCGTTATATCCGGCTGGGACAAACTGACATTTGTCCAAGCAAACCCCATCCTGACGGTGCACACAATTCTTGGCCTGTTATTTCCTGATCTGAAGCATATCAGTCTGCCGATGAGAGCTCTAGCCTTTGCGATACTTTCCTCAATTCTTCTTCTTCATGCTGGGATAGCGCTACTTTGGCCAGTAGCGTGTCCAGCCGTGGAAACCTTGGCGCCTATGATACGGCAGACTGCGAGCGGCGCCAAAAAGAATTGAGTCCGTCTCACAAAGGTCCCGGCTGGCTTCCAAATACGTCACCAGCATTGGGTTCAGAGCCCTCACGACAGCCCGATTCCGCTTGTTTAGGGCTATGCGAGGAAGTCGCGGTCGAATTTCGAGAGGCGTACTGCGCGTTTCCACAATCGCCTCTTCCAATGTACTCCTCATGTGCTCTAATTCCAGTTCCTGGGCGACTGTTCCATCATCGTTTGAATCAACCACAACTGGGGTATTCACAGCGGCATCCATTTGCGGGTTGCTCTACAATTTGTGGCGCCGAATCCTCAGCCGTAGCATTTTCATCCGATGAGGGAACAGCCTCACGTCGTAGCCGTTCGAGTTCGGCGACATCAAATATATTTGAGCGCAATATATACCGAACTCGGTCTGCCAGGTTTTGCTCTGTGACGGTTAAAGATGGCTCCAGCTTAGCAAAAAGACGATGCATCCTAGCCCGATACGCCAAACATCCAGTTTCTTCCCCTTTTACCCCAAAGTACGCCCGCAGTGCGTTTGCGTTCATTGCTTGTGACCAACGCATGCGACGTGCACCACCAGCGGGTGCGGGGTGCCGTTTGCTGAGTCCGAGATGACCCAGCCGACACCAAGCCTTCTGGCGGGGATGATGGATGCGGAGGGCTGCTAGGTGACCGTGCAGCTCATCGCGCTCGGCTGGCGGCCGGCATGTTGCCGCTTCCAGCGCCAGCTCCAGACGCGCCCCGGCGACCCCCAGGCAGCGGCCCTTTGCGCACTATCTTTTTATCCATAATCCATCATCATATTATTATTATTATTATTAAAAGGAAACTGAGCAAAATTGATTCGTCAGCCTATTTAAATGTTTTGAATCGCAGCGTATAGGAAAGCATGAAAATAGCTTATTATTCCAAATGGAAATGGGATAATTCTTTAATTAAAGGAAACTGAGCATAATTATCCGTCAGGGATGCAGACATTTGAAAAGAAACTGAGCTAAATGGATTCGTCAGAGATGTAGTTTTCTGAATTGAAAGGAAACTGAACCAAATAAAAGATCCGTCAGAGGTGCAGCATTTGGAATTGAAAAGAAACTGAGCTAAATAGGAAATTTTGAATTGAAAGGGAAGATCTGCAGGAATTCTGATTAATATTAATATACCTTACTATTTTAATTTAATGAATAAAAAGAATGTTAGACATAATAATGAAAATTGCAATATCATCAATGAGAGCTCTAAAAATTCTTAACCAAATAGAGGGTTAATAACTTATTATTTTCATTCTGTAAAATCTTATAAGCAAGTACCACATGATTCCTTTCGTCCATAAAGAAAAATCTTTAAATATGAAATTCACAATCTTACACTAAAATATAGCTGGCATTTGCTCCAAAAAGGATATTTTAAAATTAACATTAAAACATTTACATGAGGAGGAGCATACACGAATAGATGTATTATGCTTAACGGAAACATTTGTTAAAGCAAGTGATTATAATAATTATAATGTTTATGGTTACAAATTAGCTGGTTTCTATGGTCGTAAAAAAATAGAGGTGGTGTATGTATTTTGATAAAGGAAGATATAGAGTGGAATGAAATAAACTTTTTTTTCAGATTTAACAGAATCCGAGCATTTTTAATGTTGTGGAATAGAAATTCCTTTACATAATATTTACATAATATGCATCTATAGGACACCTGGTTCAAATGTTAATGTATTCTTTTTTAAACTACAAAACTTATTGTCAAAATTAATAAATAATCACAATAAAAGAATTATTATTGCTGGAGACATTAACATTAATACCTTGGAAAATAGTAAAAATACCATTGAATTAAATGATATCATTTCGAATTATAATTTATATATACATATTAATGAACCAACGCGTGGAAACAACTGTATAGATCATATATTTAGTAATATAATGAATGCAACAACATGTATTAAAAAGTTATATTTATCAGATCATGAATCGGCGCAAATATTATCTATTGATGTACATAAACAGAGAAAAAAGTTAAATGATATTTGGGAGTATAAAAGGAATTATAATTTATATTACATTAATATGTTTCGTGAATGTATAAAAAAGCTTACTTTTAAGGAAGTTTTTGAGGACAAGGATATCAATTCTGCATACAATAAATTTATGGATCTTTTTATCTCATTTTATAATCTATGATTTCCGATGATTAAGACAAAAAAAAAACTAGATATGAAATATAAAAATAACTGGATTACAAAAGGTTTGAGACTTAGTTGCTTAATAAAAAGGAAACTCACAATTGGTTATTATAAGAAAAAGAGTGACGAGAATAAACAAAAATACAAAATATACAGCAAATTACTAAAAAAATGTATTGACGTGTCTAAAAGAATAAATTATTTTAAACGAACTAATACCAGTAAGAATAAAGGAAAATGTTCATGGAATATGATAAAATCAGAGGCAGTGTTAAAAGAGAATGACAATTATTTAAACATGATAAGCAAGAATAATGAATGTCTAAGATCTCCACAGAAGATTGCTAATGCTTTTAGTGAGAATCATGAAAGCCAGACAAGGATAGTTAACCTTAAGCAAGCGAAAGAAACATACCTGTATAACATTAAAAGCCCATGCAAAAGCATGTTTTTACGTCCAATTACTCTGGAGGAGACAAAGTCATTTATAGTTAATTTAAAAAAATTCTAGCAGTGAAGGTTATAGTGGCATAAATACAAAAGTAATTAAATATTGCAAGGATGAACTATCGCTTATACTTACATATTTGATAAATTTATCATTCGAAGTAGGTGCTTTTCTAGAGTCATTAAAACTATCTTTGATCAAGCCCTTATTTAAGCAAGGTGAGAAAAAAGATATTAATAACTATCGTCCAATAACAATTTTGTCAGTTTTCTCAAAATTTTTTGAAAAAGCTATGCACAGTAGGCTTAGTCATTATTTTAATGAAAACAAGTTTATGAAAAAAGAACAGTATGGCTTTCAGCAAAACAAATCAAGCACGATGGCGTGTTTTGATGTATTAAAAAGAATCACCGATGCAATAGATGATAAGGTAAATGTAACAAGTGTATTTTTCGATATGTCAAAAGCATTTGACTTTGTTTGCCATGACACCTTATTGCGTAAGCTAGAAAAGTATGTAATAAGAGGACTGACATTGCAGTGGATAAAGACATACTTATCATCAAGAAAACAGTGTGTGGAAGTTATAAGCCCTAATAAAAATAATATTTTGACAAAATTCAGATCGCGACTAGTTCTTAAGTACGCTGGAGTTCCTCAGGGAAGTGTTCTTGCGTCTTTTTTTGTTCGTAATTTATGTAAATGATTTACCGGATTCAACTCCATTCCCGTGCATTTTATTTGCGGACGACATATCTTTAATCATAAAAAATAATCATGGAAATAAAGGTTATTACGAAAATGACATAAAATGCGCAATAAATGATGTCATTTCAAGGTTACATAATAATAATTTGAAGGCCAATATCGCCAAAACCTGTTATTCACAATTTTATAGTAATAGTAGAAAGAAACTAGATCTTGACATAAGATATAATAATGATAAAGTGCAAGAAAATGAACAGAAGAAATTTCTGGGAATAAAATTAGATAGTAATTGTAATTCGATGGCTCATATTGACGAAATTTGTAATAAAATTAATAGATTTGTATATGTTTTAAATAGGTTAAGAAGAACATCGTCAAGTCAAACCGCACTCATTGCATATCTTGGATATGTTGCAATAATATTAAGATACGGATTGTTAATTTGGGGTAATAGCTCTTATTCAAAAAGAGCTTTTATAGCTCAAAAAAAAGTGTGTGAGAGCCTTAACTGGGGCCAAATGGTATGATTCCTGTAAGTCCTTATTTAAGGATCTTAACATACTGACTTTACCAGGTATGTAAATATTTGAAGCAAGTGTTCATGTAAAAAAACATTTACATATGTACAAAAAAGCATCTGAGGTATACTTGCGTAGCAATCGAAATTCTGATAGACTAGTTATAGAACGTATACCTAAAACTGCATTTTATCGTAATGGCTGCTACGCGATGAGTGTAAAAATTTATAATAAACTTCCGGCAAGCATTAAAGAAGAGACAGAAACTGGTAAATTTAAAACCAAACTAAAAAGCTGGCTACTATTAAAGTGCGTTTATGACGTAAAACAATAAATAATAAAAATAAGTGAATAGAATCTTGTTGCCTGAATTTGATATTATTGTATTATTTTTGACTATTTTTTGTTTAATCTTTAGATTTTATATATATACTCTTTTAACATTCTAACTTTTAATTTTAACATGTGGACTATATACAATATCCAATATTTGTCACCTCTGATGTACCATGTTTAAGCGAATAAATGCAATTATTATTATTATTATATAATGAAAAAGCTGTGCTTAAAATCACAGTAAATTTACTGTTACTTCAGTCTATATATATATATATATATATATATATATATATATATATATACTATACTATACTACGTGTCACGTTGTTTGTCGGCGATGGACTCCTAAACCACTTAACCGATTTAAATCAAATTTGCACACCGTGAGTTAGGTCCAACTTGAGAGATAGGATAGTTGTTTTGCGAATTTAAGAATTTTTAATAGGACATGACAAAGGATCGTCGAAAAGGGCAGAACAACGCCTGCCTGGCAAGCTAGTTTATCCATATATTAGTAGGCAACATTAAAAAAATTGTCGGCAATCTATACTCTGTGCGACTGTTTGACCAGACTGTTACGTACTTGACATTGATAGTATGAACGTAAGCAATGCACTAAACGGCGATCATTAAAAATTATATAATATACGAGAAGTTTGAATATTTTTAAAGAATTAAAAAGCATGACTTAATTTTTTTAAACTCATGAATGCTTTTTTACCACGTTCTTATTAACTCGCTTTCGTGTACTCGTTCAGGTCGAATTTAGTAATTGATTTTAAACTAACTTATTGATAAGCAAGAGACTTGTTGAACATAGTTCAGAATCGCTTTCATGTCTGCCTGTTTGTTTGTTTATATGTTCAGTACAAATTAGGCAATCCGTTTTATACGTGGTAGAGCCATGTTGCAGTTATATTAGTAGTATAGTTGTAGCGCGAATGGGTCGGCTCGATCGAGGAAGGACCACGCTCTCACAGAATACCAGCGTAAAATCCTAGTAGCTTAAAGCTGCTGTGTTTCATATGGTGAGTGTGGATAACCGGAGACCCTTTTTACTGGAAACAAGGCATTCCATCTTAGTCCTCACATCTGCATTTTGATTTGTAATTGAGGATAGATGTATATGTCTATAGACCGCATTTGAAACTTTAATATGTAAACTATAAAATAGCTGCAATTTTTAATTATAAATATTTTATTTTATTTAACGTACTTGTAACATACAGTTTATAATATAAATATTAGCTTTTAGCTTTTTTACATATAAATTTCATTTGTATGCCAAAACTCATCCCCCCCCCCCCCGCCGCCAGTGCGCGTAATATGCTTAAAGAGGGTTACAACGTTTTCATCTCA